TCTCCTGGAATCCAGACGTCGTCCTTCAGCTCTCCTGGAATCTACACGTTCTTCAGAAGTCCTTCTGGAATCCATACGGCGTTCTTCAGAAGCCCTTCTGGAATCCATACGGCGGTCTTCAGAAGCCCTTCTGGAATCCAAACGACGTTCTTCAGCTCTCCTGGAATCGAGACGTTCCTCAGAAGCCCTCCTGGAATCCATACGACGCTCTTCAGAAACCCTTCCGGAATCCAGACGTTCCTCAGAGGCTCTCCTGGAATCTATACGACGTTCTTCAGAAGCCCTTTTGGAATCCAGACGTTCCTCAGCAGCCCTCCTGGAGTCCAGACGTCTTTCTTCAGCTCTCCTGGAATCGAGACGTTCCTCAGAAGCTCTCCTGGAATCCATACGACGTTCTTCAGCTCTCCTGGAATCCATACGACGTTCTTCAGCTCTCCTGGAATCCATACGACGAATCTTCTTCAGCTCTCCTGGAATCCATACGACGTTCTTCAGAAGCCCTTCTGGAATCCAGACGTCGTTCTTCAGCTCTCCTGGAATCCAGACGTTCCTCAGAAGCCCTCCTGGAATCCAGACGTTCCTCAGAAGCCATCCTGGAATCCAGACGTCTTTCTTCAGCTCTCCTGGAATCGAGGCGTTCCTCAGAAGTTCTGGAATCCATACGACGTTCTTCAGCTCTCCTGGAATCCATACGACGTTCTTCAGCTCTCCTGGAATCCATACGACGTTCTTCAGAAGCCCTTCTGGAATCCAGACGTTCCTCAGAAGCTCTCCTGGAATCCAGACGTTCCTCAGAAGCCCTCCTGGAATCCAGACGTCTTTCTTCAGCTCTCCTGGAATCGAGACGTTCCTCAGAAGTTCTCCTGGAATCCATACGACGTTCTTCAGCTCTCCTGGAATCCATACGACGTTCTTCAGCTCTCCTGGAATCCATACGACGTTCTTCAGCTCTCCTGGAATCCATACGACGTTCTTCAGAAGCCCTCCTGGAATCCAGACGTCTTTCTTCAGCTCTCCTGGAATCGAGACGTTCCTCAGAAGCTCTCCTGGAATCCATGCGACGTTCTTCAGCTCTCCTGGAATCCATACGACGTTCTTCAGAAGCCCTTCTGGAATCCAGACGTTCCTCAGAAGCCTTCCTGGAATCCAGACGTCTTTCTTCAGCTCTCCTGGAATCGAGACGTTCCTCAGAAGTTCTGGAATCCATACGACGTTCTTCAGCTCTCCTGGAATCCATACGACGTTCTTCAGAAGCCCTTCTGGAATCCAGACGTTCCTCAGAAGCCTTCCTGGAATCCATGCGGCGTTCTTCAGCTCTCCTGGAATCGAGACGTTCCTCAGTTCTCCTGGAATCCATACGACGTTCCTCAGAAGCCCTTCTCGAATCCATACGACGTTCTTCAGCTCTCCTGGAATCCAGACGTTCCTGAGAGGCTCTCCTGGAATCCATACGACGTTCCTCAGAAGCCCTTCTGGAATCCATACGTCGTTCTTCAGCTCTCCTGGAATCTACACGTTCTTCAGAAGCCCTTCTGGAATCCAGACGTTCCTCAGAAGCCCTCCTGGAATCCAGACGTCGTTCTTCAGCCCTCCTGGAATCGAGACGTCGTTCTTCAGCTCTCCTGGAATCGAGACTTTTCTCAGAGGCTCTCTTGGAATCCAGACGTCGTTCTTCAGCTCTCCTGGAATCGAAACGTTCCTCAGAGGCTCTCCTGGAATCCAGACGTCGTTCTTCAGCTCTCCTGGAATCTAGACGCCGTTCTTCAGAGGCTTTCCTTGAATCTAAGCGTTCGTCAGAGGCTCTCCTGGAACCGAGACGTCGTTCTTCAGAATCTCTCCTGGGATTCAAACGTTCTTCAGAGGCCCTGGAAGCTAAATATCTTTCTTCAGCTCTTCTAGAACTCAAACGTCGATCTACATGATGCAGTTCCCTTGAGACTGCCTCTCTGGAACTTTTAGCAGAATCTCTATAATATGAAAGTCTCCTTGTCAAAAACCCAAGCTGGCGTGTTTCAGGATTAGAAGATGAACCACCGAAGTGTCTAGTGTCCAAACGTCGATCTGCAACGCGACGACTATCTAGGCGTCGTTCTTCAGTAGTTCGAACATCTGGATGTCGTCGAGTGTCGAGACGCTGTTCCTTGACATGGCGAGCGCCAAGCCGTATATCTTCAGCACGCCGAGTGTCCAAATGCTGGCGAGTGCTTAGACGATGTTCTTCAACTTGTGAGGTGTCTCGACGTCGTTCTCCAACCCATCGAGCGTCTAGACGTTCACCGGTGCGTTGAGAATCACTGCGCCTTTCGTCAGAATGCTTATCGAGACGACGAGTACCAGGAATCACTGAGGTGCTACGTCTCAGCAGTCGACGTGCGTTCACGTCACGGTTCCTCTGCCCAACAGCAACCGATACTGGGTCTTCGGGTCTGCCATCGACCAAAACGTTGGCCTTCCCTTCATTGTTCTTCAGTGGGTGAGAGCTTGCCAGTCTGTTGAAAGA